GCACTTTCATCCATGACAGAGACGTCCCTGAAGATCCCGGCCTTATCCCACGACCGTTAAGCCGCAACCCCATGTCCCACCAGCCATGTCCCTCACACGTCCACAAGAGGCTGAGTTGATTGAGGTGTGGCACTTTGTTCCGCACGAGCCAGCGGCGGCAGCACAGCAGCATGAACTTGATGAGCGAACCCAGGTCTCCAAGAGAAGATACGAGTCGGAGAGTTGCGACCTTCTCCACGCCTGTGTCGTCGTCACTCGTGCCGGAGCCACCTCCTGCGCCCATCGTCGACTGTCAAATTTCCCTTCATCCAATGCGTCCATGCTGGCTGTTGCCCATAGACACACACGCGCACATGCACACACGACAGCTGTGCACCTGTTCTGACAGAGGCTGGCATTTCATTAATCCAGTGGCCTTCAGATGTCTTTCACCCGCAACGCTGGCTGCACCCGCACCCCTCTCGACGTCGACGCACACCACTCCACCCCCCAAAATCCCCACCACGGTTCCAGGTTCGTCGTCGACGTTACATCCCCTAAAAATTCTCTTCATCCTTTTCGGGACAACAGCCTTTTGCCCACTTGCAGCAGGTTTTCTGGGTACAGCACGCTAGGTACGGAGCATCTGCCCTGCCTGACCATGCTCTCTCCGCCCTACAACTTTCCACCATGCCACTACCTGCGTGAATAGGTACAGAGCTCCCCCCCCCCCCCAAACCCTGTGCTGATGATGACTATTCACGAGTTGCAGCCGCTGCACCTGCACAGACAGTTCGGTCCAAGGTTCTTAGTAGTTTGTCGAACACCCCTCTCTGCTTCTCTGCTGCTGCTGTTGCTGCTGTTGCTGCTTCCCTTCCTCGGTTCGCTTTTGCTGCACCCCGTCTAGTGGGCATAGCTCTCTCCATCCCATCTCTCCCGAGAGCCCACAGATGACGCCCGTTGGCTCCTTCGTGAATCACCTGCAAACCATCCGTCTGTCTGCCCATGCGACTGGATAACTGTGGCCCTCCACTTGCTGAAAGTCCCCCCATCCCCTCCCCCAGGCCAGGGTTGCAGGTACGTACTCTTTCCCTCTCACACACACCACCCTCTCTGCTGGCCCGAACCCACTGGCTGGGCTTCGGTTTGAGGACGAAGGAAACGAGCCAATCATCTACGTCAAAACGTTTCGACTTGAAACAAGAGCGGCGCTCGGCGGCCAATCAGACCCTGTTTTCGACGTGACAGCGCAAGACGATCACGACAAGAGGTGTGAGCATTTGTCCAAGTTGCGCTGCGTGGTTGGAAGCCACTGGATCCAGCTGTACAGAGGAAATCCGAACGTTGGCTGTCTGACAAGGAGGGGGAGGGGAGCAGACCGGGACAGGCGGGCGGGCGTTCTGGCTTCTCGGCTCGCCTGGTGTTAACTACCTACCGCGGAGCTCTTGTGTTGCTCTCCGGATCGTGAAAAAACAGCCATGTTGTTGCTATACCACACCGTTGTTTGTTTTGTTTCCTCTTTTGGAGAGGTTGGTTCACAGAAGGGGGGGTAGGGGAGGGGGTGGTGGTTTCGGTCTGTGATCCAAGTATGATGTGCGGTATGATGCGTGTTATCCCATCTTCGCTTCCCGCGCCGCCTCTAAGGGCCTGGCTGTCTGGGCACGTCAACGAAAATAACGAAACCCACGAGGTTGAGAGCATGGTCCGTGGACGACGGGCCATGGCCCTGACAAGCACTTGGAGCCTGGAGCATTGTCTCACCGAACCAGTGGCCCGTAACCTGGCTGTCGGGAGACGGGCCCGGAGGAGGAGGGGTTGGAAGGGGGCTTTGCAACGGCTCTTTTTCTTCACGGCTGTCAGAATATCCGGCCGAGGACGACACGGTCTGTTACCGTCTGTTTTGTTTCTGATATCCTCGCTTGGTCACAGGATGAGGGATTTGAGAGTGGCTGGCGCATCGCGGGAATGGTCAGATGGCTTGTGAGATTCGACGACGACCCCGGTCTTACAAATCAGGTTTCTCGTCTGTTCTTTGACGTTTCTGCCTCGGAAGACGCAGAAAAGAAGGATTCTTCGAGCTTGGACCCGTCGCGGACGTTGGACGGTGACTCAACTCTCCCAGCATTGTCTACAACATGTCAAGGCGATGTAGCAACTGCAGTCACACGCGCAACAGTGTACTCCGCTCCGAACCTGCAGACGCGATAGGTTACCGACAGATGCAAGGTGATCGGATGGGAGAGGTATGCTTGGCCCGTCACTTTGTTAGTACTTCTTTTCGGGCGCCACCTTCTCGGGAACAAGCAAAGAGCGCTATTGTTCTCGAAGATGACATATACCCTTCCAAGTCGCATTCTGGGCTTTGCTGCGAGTGCTTGCGGGTTCCGTCCAGTCAGATTCGTCCGCGCCTGTTGGTGTGCGGTGGTGCTGGTTGCGTTCCATTTCTTCATTGCTACGTTGGTTGTTTGCTTCTTTGCCTAGCTGCCGTCCCGCCGCCGCCCTTGCTGGCTGACATGTGGTTGTGCGCTTGTCGTCGTCGACTGCATGTTGCCGCGCGCCACCGTCTTTATTGATTTTCTCGGTGGGTGGGAGGTGTAGCAATGTGCATGGGCATGGGTATGGGCAAACCAACGGCGATTTTGGGACAAGCAGTCAGCAATATGTACGCTCGGCATTGGGCGACGACATTTGCCGCGCCGCTGGTTCATCTTTTGCGAGTGCGACAGAGACAGCCTCCGATGGTGTGGTGTATGTGCCGAGAAACATCTCCGCAACGTCTTCTTTATTGAATGCCTCAGTTGTGGCGCTTGGGCGACGGTGATGCTGGGCAGAGAGTTTCCCGATGTCACGCCGCCATTGCCCAAGTTTACGGTTGAAAGTGCTTATGTAAGATTGCTGGTGCCGCAGCTGGCGCCAGGTGGATGCGATCAGTGACAGCCCATGAGCTTATCAAATCGGCGCCGGGGCCGTTATCAGAAAATTTCGAGACTCGATGCAAGTCACGATCGAGTAACGACAGATTGCGACGACCACGAATTGAAAAGCCCCACGCCCACAATTTTGACATCACGGATACCTGTGTCTCAGATTATAAAGGACGTTCGACCTTGACGTGAAATTTCGCAAAAAATGCCCAGCAGAACAGAATCCGAGGACGTCGCCATGGACGAGGCGCCCCCCTCTCACCAGCCCGAGGAGAACGAGGCCTCTGAGGAGTCGCCTGAGCAGGAGGAGGAAGAGGAGGAGGAGCCCCAGCGCGTCAAGATTGTACGGTCCCTCTCTCGATGAGAAGAAATGAGAGTTGTTTATGCTGACGGTTGGTATAGCTCCCTGGTTCAACAGACAGCGCTGCCTCATTCGAGTTCGTCGATGAGGGTCACACGCTCGGCAACGCGCTGAGATACATCATCATGAAGAAGTGAGTCAACCCTCGGGAGTTCTTATTGCCGCTCATCACTAATATACGAAAAGCCCCGACGTCGAGTTCTGTGCCTACGCCATCCCTCACCCCTCCGAGGCCAAGATGAACCTCAGAATTCAGACCTATGGTATGCTCTCTCGCCCCTTCAACACTACTGAAGCCAACTGACGTGTGCTGCAGACGGAACCGCCGTCGCTGCCCTCCAAAAGGGCCTCAAGGACCTGCAGGCCCTGAGCGACACTGTCGCGGAGGAGTTCATCCGCTCCAAGGAAGAGTTTGGACGTTCTTAGCTTAGCGAGACGGGACGAGATGTTTGCATGTCAAAACAGGCGTTTTAGGGGGTTTCCGTAAAAATCCAAGGTCATAGACAAAATGTTAATGAGCAATTGAAATGTTTTTTTTTTCTTTCTTTCCTCGAGGGTCGGACTTTTGGATTGGTTTTTTATGTACACGAGCTCTAAGCCTCTCTTTCTTACCGCTCAGTTACGACCCTGGAGGAGAGTGCATGTGGTCAGTACGGATTTGCGCAGCAGCTGTGTATATATATCTGATCCCAAGTGGGATGTCGCTTGGGAGACTCACCTCCAAGAACCCAGTCATGAAGTTGTTGGGCAACCGCTTGTCTCCTCTAAAGTTCTCCTCCTTGAAGTAGGACATGATGTGCGTGGTCTGCTTCCAGAAGTTCATCGTCTCCTGTTTGTCGTGTTGTCAGCCGTTGTTCCTCCCATCTCCCTCTCTGGCCCGGCTCGCCTCGACAGAACGACGGAGGGGGCGCATACCTGGTATTCGGCGTGGCTCTTGAAGATCAGGACGTCGACGACGGGGAGCTTCTTGGCGAACCTGTGGCGCTCAAACTCCTCGCGTATCCGGGTGCGAAGGACGGAGACGGGAAGGGGGACGTTGTACATCGTCTGGATCTCGGGCGCCTGTTTCCAATCCCTCGCGGTTAGCCTCTCGTCACCTTCTCCCATGTCCCCTCCATCCACCACTCAATCGGACAACCGACGGCCGGCCGTCTCGGATCGTCAGGAAACAGAGCGAAAAACATACAGCGCGAATCCATTCTCTGTATGAAGCGAGGACCCGTCTCTTTGCGTCGTTCCAGTTGGCCGCTGTATATCCGTCCTTGTCAGCAGCATTCTTCCGATGCGTCAATCGGGCTCAGGACGTACACTGCCGGGTCGTCTTGGCGAATTGGGTCGGTGTGATGGCCATGGTGGGCGCGCGCGGGGTGCTGGGTGAGGGATTCGGGTTCGTGATGGAGGCTTGCCCGCGGTCCGGCTATCTTGTACTGGCGGTTGGTCTTGCGGGAAGCACGCACAGCTCCAACGTTGGGAGCCGCCCAATCACGTGTGGGACTTAGTCAGCCCGGAGCTGTTGTCTGGCACGGCGGCGACGGCAGTGGGCTGATAAGATAAGCCCGTTCCTACTTTGGCCCCACTATCGAATTAAACCTCCCGACTTCACTGTTCGTCATACTCCCGCGTCGCTGCACGTTGATCCTATCTCCCTCCGAAGGTCTCAGAGAACCGTAGAATACCGCGACGCGGTCGACTTCGACACCGACCACATTCTCTAGGCGACACACCCGCCGGACAAGATGCCTCCCATGCGTCACTCGTCGAAGCGCAAGCCGCCCCCAGAAGGCTTCAGCGACATTGAAGACCAGCTCCTCATCTTCCAAAACAAGATGAAGGACGCGCAGAACAAGCCGCCGCCGACGGGCCCGAAGCACCAGGCGCAGTGGGAGATCTTTCAGATCGCACACACGCGAAGCCGCTACGTGTACGACATGTACTACGAAAAGGAGGCCATCAGCAAGCAGCTGTACGAGTGGCTGCTCAAGAACGGGTACGCAGACGCGATGCTCATTGCCAAGTGGAAGAAGCAGGGCTACGAGAAGGTGAGTCGCAGTTAGGAGCTCTGTTGGAGTCCTGTTAACGTGTTGTCCCTAGCTTTGCTGCCTGCGCTGCGTCCAGACCAAGGAGACCAACTTCAACTCGACGTGCGTATGCAGAGTTCCCAAGGCCCAGCTCAAGGGGGACCAGGAGGTGCAGTGCGTCAACTGCGGATGCCACGGCTGCGCTTCGAGTGATTAGAGAAGGATTCGACAAGTCTCACACTTGAAGAGGCCCCGTTCAGCATGGCGACACACATTCACATCATCGCGGGAGACAGGCGTTCGGCGTCATAGGAGGGTTGATCCTGACCCCGAGTACGAGACTCGGGGTCTCTTTATTTTGCTGCAAAGAGGTAGTGATCCTTTCAATTGACCGTTTTGGTATCATGATGGCCTGAACGCTAATCAAAGTAGTGCTATGCTTCGTGACGTCGTGTTCATCGTTTTGCAAAACCTGCCCGTCCGCCGCCTCGCCCAAACCGTACGCTGTTCGGTACGAATTGCAGCGCCGACATGGCTCCTGCGAGGTCCTCCATCTCAGTGTCTGGACGTTCCGTCGGGTCTGGCGATGGTGCTGCTGGCTGTGATGCTGCGGACGGGGTGTTGCCCTCATCTTCTGCCGGCGGCTTACGCCCTTCCTCCTTTTGCTTGCCGCTGCCCTGCGTCTCTAGGATGCTTGACTTCCGCTTCGACTCTTTCGTGTTGACGGCGCTGGATGACTTGCGTCGGTGATGGCCGCCTTCAACGAGTAGTGACCGCCGTCCGTCGATGCCCTCCTTGGTCACCGCAAAGAAGAAGTTCTTGGGGTACATGTGCTTGTCGATGAGATGCATCCGCCGCTTCTGCGGCGTCATGCACTTTCTCTCGCAGCCCTCAACGAAGCATGAAAACTGGGATTTGTCAGCGGTCTCCTTGCAGCCCAGGGGGCAATAGTTGACTCACCGTGTGCTCTCCTCTCTCGCGTCGCACTGCAGCAAAAGAGTCATGACACTCCTCATGGTGAACGTTGAGTAGATGCTCCGACGGCAGATTTCTACCGCACTCTAAGCACCGGTTCGTGTGCGTCTTGACATAATGCGCCTCATAGTCGTCATAAGACTTGAAGGATATAGCCTCGCGGTGAGGCGGCAGGACACACTTCATGGCAAATTCCTGAAAAGGACCCTCGGCAGGCTCCAGCTCTGTGATCTTTGTTGCGCGGTCATCTGCATCAAGGGACCTAGGGGTGGTGCTCTTGTCGGTTGCGGAATCGGCGGCGGAGGGCTCCTCTTGGTCCTCTCGTGAGCGTTTCATCTTGAGTGCGGCGAGCAATGGGGAATTGTTTACTTGCAAGGCCGCCACAGAATCCCCCCTCCACACCAGGCTTGTACAATCTCTTGTGTGCTGAAATTAGAATTCGGGAGGAGCGGGCAGGAGCATGAGTGAGGCTCAGGCCCGGGTGTAGTCAGAAACCCAACTGAAAATGGCAACCTGCGCTACCTGAGGTATGGCGTAGCTGTGCAACAGTGTTTGGTGAGAGAGACACGGCAGACAATAGCTATGGACTCGGGTATGGAATGTTTTGGGCGGTGGAAGATCAAAGACCGGGGCAGCGGCGGTGGTAGTGGTGGTAGTGGTGGTGGTGGTGGGGCACTGACGGTCAAAGACAACAAGCAGATAAGGTCAGTCAGCAGCCAGGACTCATCATTCATCAATCCCATCCCATGTCGGGCAAAAGCATGGCAAGGCAAGGAAGGGCCATTGGCCACTGGGCAGGTTGCCAGGCCCAGGCTCAGACTCGGGCTTCCTTACCTTAACAAAGAGGCGGCAGCCATTGGTGCGCAACAAAGGCTGTGCAGATGTACCTCAGTTAAGGATGGCCTGGGCTCCCTTGGACGAGGACTTGAGAGTTGGTAGGCCTTCAGCACGCAGAGGGACCCTGTGCACGGGCCATGTGCAGCTGTTGAGGGGCTCCATCCAAAATAACTGATCCCCAAGGTGGAAACACTCTTTACCATAATATACCTTGAGGTTGTTCGCGTCCCTGTGTCTTCATTGAGACCCGACATCGCCGTCTCTTTTTTTCTTCCTCTTCCTGTGCCTTCCTCTGTCTGATTGCACACGACCACCACCACTGTGTGTCCCAGTCCGAGTGCCTCTCCCCTCTTCCTTCTTTGAATGTTTGCTACTGAGTGGCGCATCGCTCGTCGCTCCTTCCCTCCGAAACCTCCACCCAATGTTTTCTTACCCGACTTCTTCACCCAAAGAACGTGCCGCCACAAGCCCTCGATCCGACTCCCCGAGCCTGTCGTTGTTGTTGTTGTCGCCTCCTGCCTCTGCCTTGGCCTCGACTCTGCAAAGCGCCTGCCACCTCCCAAGTTATGGATCGCGCGCGCACTCAGGGATCGGTTTCGAGAGCGTGTGAGCACAGCACCTAGCTACGGGCTCCTTCTTTTTTGGCCTTGTCTTTGATCTTTGGATTCCCGGGGTTCCTCTACTCCAAACACCACAACACCATCGCAACAATACCCCTCTAGGCACAGGGCCTGATCCTGTGCTTTCCACCATGGCAGACCACACTGAGACAGCAAAGGATTGCTGGCAGTAAGTCCATCCATCCCCTTGTCCTCTTCCCCTCCATTGTGCCTGGGAGGGGGCGGACGTCTTTGGGCGCATCTGCCGGAGGCCCCGCGGTCCTTCCCCTGCCTTCCAATGATGACTGACGATAATTAGCTATGCGCAAAAGGTCCGCAAGCAATTGCAGAAGGAGCTGGAGAAGCTCAAGAACGACTCCGAGGGAAACGAGCTTAAGCGATTCGAGGCTCTCGAAAACGTCATTGCCAGGTACGCACGGAGCCGTCTCTGCGATTGGAGAGGGCCTGCTAATTCGAACCCAGTCTCCGGCTCGCCTGCATCCAAACCATTTTTCATTCGTTCGAGTATGGAACCGCCGAAAAGGTTGACAACAGCCTGTGGCAGGCGCACAGCCTCGTCAACTCCGAGTATCGTAAGGCCTCCCTCCGCCTGAAGGGCTCGCAGCACAATGTGCTCAAGCGCAAACTCGACAAGATGTACATGGCCTTCCTCAAGACGGCGCAAGGCTTCTACATTGCCTACATCCAGCGTCTGGCCGCTGTCTTTCCCGTGCCCGAGCTTCTGCGCATCGCCAAGGGCATCAAGGCCGAGAACCTCGTCGAGCAGAACCCGATCGCGAACGTCACGCCCGTCGTGCGCCAATGCATCCTCAAGTTCTGCCATGCGGCGCTCATCCACCTTGGCGACCTTTCCAGATACCGCACGCAGAATCGCCCCAAAGTCCCTTATGAGGCGGCTTTGGTCTACTATTCGCTCGCTCACGACATCATACCAACCTCGGGCTTCGCCCACCACCAGATGGGCATCATCTACCTGGATGAAAAGAAGCACCTGGACATCATATACCACTTCTACCGCGCCCTGGCTATCGAGGAGCCTCATCCCATGGCGACACAAAATCTCGAGGCCGAACTCAAGACCGTTCAGCAGCCGTCAACCCCAGCTCGTCGCGCTGGCCCCCCGGACCCGCAGGAGGCTTTCGTACTCTGGTTCGTCCGTCTGCACTCCCATCTCTACAAGGGGGAGCCGTTCCCGCAGCACCAAGAGCTCGAAGATGAGGTGATCTCCCGACTGGAGATGGCCATCAAGGCGCCAAACACGCGGGAGATGCTACAGAAGATGGTTCTACTTAATATTGCGGCCTTTCATCATTCTAACAGAAAAATGACCAGTATGTTGTCCGTCTACTCTCGAGAACGGTTTGCTGACTTCGCCTAGATAAGTGGACTATCGCTGCCTCGCGATCCTCGCACTTCATCCTGCGTCTGAACGCCCGCTTCTTCTCGACGTTTTGCCGCCTTCTCAAGAAGGAGGTGGAAGACATCATTGAACGACAAGCAAAGGGCGAACAGACTTCCGCAGACGGTGCCAGGAAGGAGGCGGATAAGATCACGCCCCTGCTCGAAAATACCCTGCGCTTTGTGCGCCTCTACGCAGCTTGGCTCGTGGCCTGCCGCGTTGAGATTCTCAACGCCCAAGACCCTCTCGAGCCTTTCGTCAAGAACATGTACAAGGACTTCGCAAAGGCCCTGACTGTTCTGTGCGAGATGTATGGCAATGAAGATCTCAAACTGACGCCTTATCTGCTTCCCGAGGACCAGGAATCCGTAGGACTACTTCCCCTCTACGGCTTGCAGCTGCCAGAGACCTGCCGCATTCACTACGAAGAGGGCACCCGAACGGTCAAGCCACAGGCTATTCATTACGACGGCCAGCAACTCGATGCTCTTCACGAGGTATTCGCCAGAGTGTTGAACACGATCAAGTGCGGATTCTTCCTGGCCAACGACGACACCAACTTTCCCTTCTCATACGGCACGTCAACTAAGGGTCTTACGTTTACTTTCGAGGAGGACTACGTTGCCAAACCGACAGCCCAACCGCCCGCAAGACCAGCTGTTGAGGATAGCGCGCCTGCGCGGCCCCCGTCTGCTCCCAAGGAAGCGGCACGAACAAAGCATGTCCAAAAGGCGCCGTCCAGATCGGCACCAAAAATACCGCCACCTAAGCCTACCCTGTCACGGACGCAACAACAGCAGCACACGCCTGGCCGCAACAGCAACAAGACCCAGGGCCAGTCCGAGTACGATTTCAGTTCCGATACCGATATGCTGAACATGGTCAACGACTTCCTGATGCCTCCTAGCGCCACCCATGCTTCCCCTGTCCAGAGTCCCGAAGACACCTCGTACGGAATGAACTCGGCAATGGCAAACGAGGTATTCGGTGTGCCCCCGACTAACAGTCCGCCCGCACTCGGATCCGCCACCGGGAAAACGTTCCCCAGCTTGCCATGGAACATGATTTACACACCAACACCGCACACCAAGAATTCTGAGCTGACACCGCCAGACCGTGCTGCGCGAGACGCGGCTGCGAGGAGGTCCTTCGATGCCGGCGCGCCTGCGAGAAATGTCCAGATCTCTAGCACAGGTCTCCTCGATGACCCCTTCGCGGATGGGCCAGACGGGCAGTACTTGCCACTGCAGCAACAGCAGCAGCAACGACGCTACCCAGGTACACCTGACTTGAATGCTCACCAAGATCGTCTGTTGCAGGCCTTTGGCAAGCAGCCGACAGACACAAGATCTATGAGCCGTGATTTCTCGGGAGGCTACGGGCTTT